CCCCCTTTTTCTACGAATTCGTAGCCGCAACCCCTCTCCCAAGGGATGGCCGATGCTGGTTGCCATGGTTACGGTGAAAGGAAGAGCAAGAGCAAAGCCTGAGACTTGTCTGGACGTCAAGTAATTTCGGGTGAGGATGAGTTTCCGGAAGGCAGACGTGATGCTCTCTTCTAAATGCATTCGGGTGGGAGGAAAGGGACTGCCACATTTTTGGCGAGAAATTTTTGTCGCCTCATTCCTTCTGTTTCTTTTCCAAAATTCTTATTCTTGATTTTAGAAATGAACTAACATTCGTAAAATAACTCTAGTCTCAATCCAGTTATATAATAATGGTTGTTTGTACTTTCTTTTCAACATATTCTGTCTTTTCTTTCTGTTCTATTTTTGTCTTAAAAGCTAATAGTATAATCTACTATAGGGCAAAATTAAGAAAATTTGCTACATGCCGTAGGGGGGCAAATTGTAGTATTTTTAACAGGGGAAAGATAATTTAAACATTTTTTTAACAGTTTAAAATTTCAAAAAAATGAACATTTTAAACGGTTAAAGAAAATGTTTGTTATTAATAATGTTAAGCACTTCTTTCTAAGCATTTCTCAAAATAGTGTAAACATTAAAGGTCCATTCAATAAATAATCCCAAGAAACTGAAACGGTAAGATATAACTTTATTAAAAAACTTCATTCGCTTGAATAATAAACAGATAAGTCATGTTCCAAGCGCTCAAAAATAAGCGCCCATTTTCAAGACTTCTTAGGCGTGATTGGTAAAAAATAAAAGAGATTTGAAACATTAAACGTTAAGTTGCCAAGGAAAAATGAAATATAAAGATAAGAAAAAATTATTCTCGCTTGGCTACTGCTTTCCTAGTTTTTGTTTTCGCCTTTATTTTCCATTTTTCGTTGGCAACTTAGTTTTATATTTCTAATTACTTTTGTTTCTTTTCATTCACGTCCGGCAAATCTTGAGCCAATTTTTGAGCTCTTGAAACTGTTATTTTTAATCTGTCGACTGTTATTTCCAATGTTTACTATTTCCAATTTGCATATTTTTGAAGCGAATGAATTTTTTTTAATCTAGTAATTAAGGATTCATTTCTAAAATGAAAAAAAAATTATTAAACTAATGTGAAATAAAGTTATTTTTTGCATACTTTTAAATATTCATATTGCCATATTTGAGTGGGGGGAAAATAATAAAATGCACACGGTGGGAATTTTCGACGAAACAAGTGACGATCGGGAAGATAAATTTTTAATAGCCATTGGTTTTATTTGGACAGCAGGTGTTGGCCATTAAAGTTCCCCTACAGTTAATACTATTGTTGAAATTATAATTAAGTTAATTATAATTAGGCGTCGGCCTTCTGAGCCCAAGTCTGCGGGTTCGATCCCCGGCCCAGACACCGGATTTTCGGGATGCAGAAAATCCTCAGCGGCCATGTCGTATGATTATGCGGCATGTAAAAGATCCCTGGAGTATCTTATTGGCTCTTGGCATTTCCGTTAAAATTAAATTCCTAGTGCACTTTAGCATCCAAATAGTCTCGGTGCTGCCATCTAGTGTGTCAGAAACTAGACGTCCAAATTAACATGACCAACGGTATCTCACCCATTGTGTTGGTCCTGAAAGAGTGGATACCACCTCTGGAGAACGTACTAGGTCTGCTCATCGGCGAGACCGATTGTGCAGCTCATTGGAAATTTAAAAAAAATTAAAAAATAATTAAATAATCAGAAAAAGAACTTTTAAAACATAAATTGGTATAATTTAATTATTAATTATATCATGACAAATCAGATTCAATTTATATTTTTCAAATAAGAGACTTTTATTAAAAACTAATTTAATATTTTTTAATATTTTATGGTTTGATTGAATGAAGTCATTTTTGTTATTTTGTTTTAAAAAATTTGTTAACAAAAAGCAAATTCCAAAACAGAATTAATTTTTTACAACTATACTATTAAAACTGTTGTGCTGTTAATATATTTTTTTCATGTTTATGCAGTTATCTTAGTGCTGTGAGTCTTCAACTTTTTTATTCATTGTATTGTACTAAAGTACAGCACTTTTCAAATATTTAATTTGTTTATTAAAATACTTAAAGGCTTAATTGAATTTGGGACAAGATAAATATTATAAACTATCAGTTTTTTAAATTTTATTAATTAAAGAAGTTGATGTATAAAAATACATTAAATTTTACTGGTTTATGTTACTTACTTTTAAATTTTTGAAAAATATTATTTTAAAAATCTTTTCGTACTCAAACTATATACTTCAAAATTTTTGTTTAACAAAACAACAAGTAATTTCACTTCCACCAATTTTCGAATTTTATCCATACCATTCAATAGTTTTTTTCTCTAACTAAATATTATTGGCTACAAATTCGAATTCAAAATATTACTCCGTATTTTTAGCTGATTTTTTTTTTCGAGTGAAATCTTATCTTTAAACAAAATACTTATTCCATAGAATATTCAAGACTGGATATTCGATAGATTGTACTCAAACCAAATAATTATTCAATAGAATATTAAATAATAATTTTCCCTATTGTTTATTAATTGTAGCTATTTTTACAACTTTAAAGCAGATTGAATCTTCATATTTTGAGGTATTCTTTAAAAGTAACAGATTCAGCTGCCACTATGCCAAACGTGCTACAATGCCAAAAAAGGAGTACAGGAACGTTGATAGATGCAAACGAAGTTTTATCTGTTGACTTGGAAGACCCCTTTGCCCTCATTTGTGTCTCCCTTTATTGCTGCAATACATTTCCAGTGGGGTAGTTTCTCCCCCCTAACAACACTTCCCGTTTCTCCGTTATCGCTGCATAAAATCTTCCCGGCCTCCTTACCTAGTTCTATTGTCTCCTGAGTGTGGGTGGAAGATGCAACAACCAATGTTGCTTTCTTTAATAACAAAAGTGTACCGCCTGTTCGATACTTCTGCGAATCCAAATAAAAAATTCATGAATGCAAAACTAACAAGATCAGTTGGTCTGGTCTCTGCTTCATATCTGATTTTATAGAAATGGTATCCCTGCTTTACCTACAAGACCTTTTTGGGAGGGAAGAACAAGACTATTGAGCAAATTAAATCAGATATTCTTTTTTTTTAGGGTAAAACTATTTATTCAACTGAAATAGTATATTTTGTTGGGAAATTTATTAATTAATATTCCTGTTTATTATACACTGGGGATAAATTTTTGTTGTTGCATTAATACAAATAATTGATCTTGCCCGTATCGGATGTGGGGATTTAAAATATGAAATTAGTTTTACTTCTAAAACTACAAATTGATATTTTAAATGGCATATTTAGTCTATTTTTTTGTCTAAATGTACAAGCGGAAAAAATATATATAACAGGAGATCGAGCTAGGATATTTCGACAAACTTCTGGGGGAATTAAGGCAAATCATCAGGATTAAAATGTAGGAACCCATGCCCGGAAATTTCGTCTTACGTTGCTAAAGGAGTTTCCTTATTACGGCATGTTCAGAAACACGCAATGAAACTGTTTATAATAAGGCTTACCCCTCGCGACATAGGCCGGGGATGGTCCCTATGCAGTTTTAATCCTGATGATGTGCCCAAACTCCCCTAGAAGTTTGTCGCAACATTGACGCGACCCCTGTTATATATGTTTTTAAACATGTACATTTCGACAAAAAATATATTAAAAATGTCAGTTTTGTTTTTAAAAAAAAATTCAAAAAAAGCTTGGAGAGAAAGATCGATTGCAGACTCTAAATCAGTGATACAAAAGTATCTAAAGTCCTAAAAAAATCTAAGAAAGCAAAGAAGGAAAACATTTCCCAGTGTTATTTTCTTAAAGATTGTTAGTAGTATTCTGAATTACTTTAATTTTGACTGCAAATATGCTAATTCAAAAATACAAATAATTGCTTTCACTCAGAATTTAACTATTTTCCTTAAATTATTGCCAACACCTCGAAACCTTTAACTCCAGTCGTCTATAAATTTGCTAAAGCTCCTCCACATTCAAGCAATATTATACAATATAAATGTCTACACAATATAATGCGATATAAATCTCTCTGCAATCATTTAAACAATTCGGGGGTATAATACTTAAACTAAATAACTCAATATTTTTCCATTTTTAAAGTTATGTAAAAATGTTTAAATCGGCAAAGAGCTTTGAAATGCTATAATCTACAGCTCTTCTTGATATTGTAATTATTCCTCCGCAGTCTGTCGAAGTTGACAAGATTGTTAACTCTCAAGAAACTCTTTAAGTCGAAACAATAAGTGGATCAGTGCAGATGTCTTCTGGAATAAGACACTAGTAATTCAAAATATGCCCTGCAGTAACCTAATGGTCGTAGCTCTTGCAGCAGATGTCTTCTGGAATAAGACCCTAGTAATTCAAAATGTGCCCTTCAGAAACCTAATGGTCGTAGCTCTTGGAGCAGATGTCTTCTGGAATAAGACCCAAGCAATTCAAAATATGCCCTGCAGAAACCAAATGATCGTAGCTCTTGGAGCAGATGTCTTCTGGAATAAGACCCTAGTAATTCAAAATGTGCCCTTCAGAAACCTAATGATCGTAGCTCTCGGAGCAGACTGGAGTAAGGCCCAAGCGATTCGAAATATGCCCTACAGAAACCTCTTGGAGCAGATGTCTTCTGGTGTAAGACCTGAGCAATCCAAAATGTGCCCTGCAGAAATCTAATGATCGAGGCACATTATGCAGATGTTAAAAATAATCTACGACTAACCTGTGTGACACCAAGCGGTATTGTTTAAACTAGACAACACTTGAACTAAGACAAAATATTCATTTTGCAAAAAAAGGAACAACAAAAATATATATTTTTAAAACTAGTGATTTAAGAGTTATCTAGCTGTTACCTATCATTTATAAGCAGACCTTTTACATAGTTTTAAGTCATAGGTTTAAAAGTATTACTTCTGTATTTTATGTGTCACTAATTTCTTGTGTTCTTTTCTCACCCATAGGTCTTTTGTCTTGGGATGTCGAATTGACTGGTTGCGATTTAAATGGATTGGAATCTGTGTGCGCTGGTATTAGTCCTAAGCATCTTGAGGATACAGGTAAGTTTCTCACTTATTCCTGTGTATTATACTGCTGAATTGTTAACCGTACTTTTAACTTTAACCTAGGACGTCTCATTTTTAAGAATAATGCTGTCTGAGTTTTTCAAAAAATTTACTTCTCTTGCATATAATGAAAAATTGTTGAAGAAATTTTTTAAAACTTAAACTTTCCGTAAGTTGCAACAAATATAAAACTACTAACAGACATTAAAGAAGAATCTTAAAACATCAATTAATTTTTCCCGCGACTTCATTCAACCTCTTCCCCCCACCGACCTCGCTGTACTAATGCCATTTACATGAGATAAATAATTACATTCGCTACAACTCAATGTTTGAATTTTAATAAGCTTAAGAATTTTTTGACGAAAAAAAGCTCATACAAATTTAAATTTAATGATAGAAAAAATCCCATGTTACGTCATTGTAGAGAACGCTGTTATCTATGGTCTCATAAAAATCTTCAGCTACTTTGTAAAGAACGGGATTGTGTAACGCGATCTCATAAAAAAAAAAATCCTTTACTTTTTTTTGTGTAAGGAATGCGATTTCTAGTTTACAGTGCATTAAGACATATCATTCCAAAAATAAAAAACAATTATAGTTTTAGCGGCATCGATAAAACGAGGCAGTAATTTCTTTTTTTCTTTATTTTTTAATAAATAAAAATAGTTTTTGTTTTTCTTTTTGTTTTTAGATCTAGTACATTTGGTCCGTAATGATTTTGACAGTTATTGTATACAAGCAGTTTGAAAGGACATCCCTAGCGTCCAAAATGGGGTTATTGGGCGCTGGGGATATTTTTAATTTGGTAAAACATTTGGCACAAATTTATCAATTAAAATTTTAAATTTTTTTTTTTTATATTTGTAAGTCGTTACAAAACGGTAGTTTATGTAATCCGTAGTTGGTAGGAAATTTTAATTAGTATTACAAAATCGTAATAAAGGTAAGGAATTCGATCCTTATTACCTTTCTGACTGTAACATGACATACAAATATCTTATTATTTTAGTCTAGCGGATTTTGTTGCATGATTGTAATGTTAACAAATACAAAACAAAAATTTCCCACTGTATGCCAAAAAAAGCTGAAAATTGAATTTTATCATTTTTATATAAAACTAAAAAAGATAATTAAAATTAATAATTTTTTCTAAAAATATTTTATTGCATTTACAAGTTAACTTTATCCTAAGTTACGTATTTCTAACTAAAAACCTCATTTCCTACCATTATTTGGCTCTAGTCTCAGAAGGATATATAAAATCTAATAATCATGCGCTGAAGTTTTTAAAATCTGACAACAACAAAAAGATCAAGCTCCTTGCTCCAAGGAAAGTAAAATGTAGCTTGTATTTTAAGTGTCTTAAAGTCGAAAGAAGATTTTAATGTTAATAAATTAATTATTAACTTTAAACTCTAAAAAAGATAATTACTTTCCAGATTAGTTTTAATTTGGAGTTATACAAGCCTATAAACAAAATTCTTTTTGATTTGCTAAAATTATATTAGCTCTATATTGTATTTATATGTATATAGCTATATATTGTTAATTTCCTCAAATTATATAATTACTAAAATTATAATAAATTATGTTAATTTATCATATAAATTATCTTCTTTCAAGAGAAGATCATTTATCTATTAAACTAAAGATTAAAGTATATTTATTTCGTACTAGAGTAACCAACAGGAGTCCCTGTTCTAGAATAACCAAAATGACAAATGACTGCTACATCCCTCCTACTACGGAATTTTTGTAGTTTTAGAATAATTTTTTCTTGGTGATAGCGAAGATAATGGATTGATATTTTTATAAATTAGAATTAAAATAATTTTGTCCAAAACAACAAATAAATAATTTATACAGATGTATGTAAGATGGGTCGAGCAATTGGTTATGTCTACGAAATCTGATAGAAGTACTATAAGTAAGCTTTTTGTTTAGAAATTTATGCTTTAAAATCACTGCCATTAAAAAATATAATTCGCGTCTATCTCAAATGTAGACAAATATAACAGGAAAAAAAACCTCTGAAATCATCAGTAAGAAAATTAACTTTTATCAATGATTTCCAACTCTAATAAATATCGTTTTTTTTTTTGTTTTGTTTTTTCGTGTGCTGTAAATTTTTACCAAGTAATTTGCTGTGATTGTTTGAAAAAATTAGTGACAAAAATTTAAAAAAAAACTAAAACACAGAAGAAAACTTAATATCTATTTTACCGAATTCGTAATATGTGTCTTTGTTGCAAAAATCAATTGGAAAATTTGTATATTTGTAAAAGTCAAAATAAAGGGTAAGAAAGAGTAAATTGTACGAAATAAAAATAAAAAAATTCTGTAGTGATGTGATATAATAATTTTTCAATTCTGAGAAGTTTTATATAACATAAGCTTTTTATTTAAGTATCTCATTTAATCCTTTTTTTTTCAGATGTCTTAATTCAGCATTCAACTGAAAGTTTAGGAGTTGAAGTTCTCGTCAACCCAACTGTAAGCACATTAAAACAATGCGTGAGGAATTTCCTGTCCACATCAACTGGCCACAAACACCTCATCCATGCTGGCTACACATTTGCTGGCTCTGGATCTTGGATTTTACAGAATGGCACTTTTGCCTTCGATGATTTTCTCGAAATATTCCAACAAGCTGATGTGCAGAGCCAGAAGCGCTGCAATATCAACATTCACTGTTTAGAAGTAGGTAGATGGAATAGCACAAGCTTTTCCAAAGACATATTCACAAGTGTTGCCAACGTTGCCTTCAATCCACCAGAAAAAGTGCAACAGGTACCCGGTTCGGAGCACCTAATTAACTGCCTTAGAAAAGTGCTGACTTCCCAAGATTTAGAAGAGATGATGGAATCTTCCTCATTGGTTGGGAACATCCGATTCAACCGCCCAACATTATACATGTTCCCCGCTGGTCAGGGAGATTGTGCATTATTCGGCATAAACGGTTTCAACATGCTCATCGATGGTGGCTTCAACAGGAAGCCGTGCTCGTGGGAATTCATCCGACATTTAGACAGACTCGACGCCGTGCTCGTCACCAGACTTTGTGAAAATAATGTATGTGGAATGTCGACTTTAATGAAGCGCAAATCTCTGAACAACACTTATCCCCAAATAGGTTATGTGTTCTGCAATATTCCTGAAAACAAAACACCATCTCCCAAAGAGGAAACTCCCCAAGATAACCTCATCGTAAGTGTTGTAAACGAGGGTAACAACTTCATTCGGACTCTAAATGAACTGAAACTCGAACCACATCAGTGTTGGAGAGATTCCGCTGCTGATCCATTTGTGCTTTACCATAAAGTTGGTCATGGTACGTTAGAAATGCACGTGCTCAGCCCACCTAAAGACAGTAAGGAAATGAAGGAATTCATATCTGAATGGAGATCTTTTAAAGAAACCTTTTCATCAACTAAATCGGGATTGAAATCAGCTGTTCCATTGTCGCACGCTACCTCCATTTGCGCTGTTTTAATATGGAGACCCACTGACCCTAAAGATACCATCACAAGAATACTATTTCCCGGAAGTGCCCCTCAAAGCAAAATATTCGAAAGTTTAGAGAAGTTGAAAACTCTCGACGTTTTGAGCCATCCTGTAGTTACCAAAGCTTCGCTATCAGTAACCAAGACTGTAAGCAATAAGGTTGAAAAATCGATAAGTAAAACGACAATACCAAATCGTAAAAGTACGGCTTCACCTGCTTTATCTGTCAATAGCGTTGCCTCAAGAAATGGTGATGTACATAAAACTGATTCTAAAGATATTAAGAAAATCGCTAATAATGTTGTTAAAAAAGAAGTAAAGAAAGAAATCAAAAAGGAAGTTATTTCTAAAGAGAAAAGGGAAATCAAAAGCGATGGTGTTAAAAAAGAAATCAAGAAAGAAGCAGAAGTTAAAAAAGAAGTCAAGAAAATTGTTAAAAAGGAAGTTAAAGATTTGAAATCAGCAACGGAAAAGAAATCTGAAACCAAAACTGTGACTAAGAAAGAAACTGTAGCTGCTTCAAAACCAGTGGCAGAGGTGAAGAAGATGACTGCGACAACTGTTAAGAAGAGTCCAGTGGCTAAAAAGGATGTTAAACCAGCGGTAACTAAAACTGCTGAAACTAAAAAACCTTCCGCGTCTAAAACAGCTGATTCAAAGGCAGCTAAAGACGTAGTTTCTAAGAAGGTGTCTGAAACAAAGTCCGTGGCAAAGACAAAACCTAAACCTGCAACACCGACGTCAAAAACAACGCCCAAAACTAAACCAGTCGCTGTTCCTAAACCAGGTGGTAAAATGACGAAAGCTGTCGCAGCCTCTTCTGTCATTGCTTCTGCTGTTGCTGTCACTGCTGCAGCATTTGAGCTTAATGAGAAAAAAGAGGAGATAGTCATTGATGAAACTGAACCTGTGGCATCTGAAGTAAAAGAGCCTGAAATTGCTACCCAACCCAAAGAGTTTGAAACAGTTGAAAAACCGGAAGAGGACGTTGTGGTATCTCCTTTGCCACCTGAGGCTGTTTCGCCAACACCATCCGAATCAGTGTCATTAACACCATCTGATACTCTTTCATCTGCACCTTTAGAAACCGTATCCCCTACTCCACCTCTAGCTAATGAGCCAATTTCTACGGAAGAAAAAGAGGTAAATGAAATTAAAGATATAGAGCAAGATATGCCGTACGAAACTGAAATAACTGATGAAATAGCTGAAGATGAACCAGTGAGAGAGGAAACGAGTGACTTCGAACTCGAGAAAGAACCTGATGAAGTTCTTGACGTTGCTGATCAACTTACTCAGTTGCAACAGAAGAGTGACGCTATGTCTACTTCATTTGTGGCAGCAAGCAATGATGAAATTCCTGAAATCGAGAAAATGGAAACAGTCACAACGCAGTCTGCACCATTTGAGACTCAAGAGTTAAAATCAGAGGAACCCCCTACTGATGCTTTTGGCATCGAGGAAAAACCTTTACAAAAAGAGGAGGGTTATATAATTGAGGCACATGAATCCTCTGTTGATGATCAGCTGGCTCAAATGTCAATGGATGGAAGTTTTTGTACACAAGTAAAAGAATCCTCTGTTGATGATCAGTTGGCTCAAATGTCAATGGAAGGCAGTTATTGTGCAGATGCTAAAGAAGCTTCTGTTGACGATCAACTAGCTCAAATGTCAATGGAGGGAAGTTACTGCGCTGAAGTAAAAGAAGTCTCTGACGATAAACTAGCTCAGATGTCAATGGAAGGCAGTTACTGTGCCGGAGATTATACTGCTGACGATGAGAAACTTGAACAAACCCATGAATCTGGAAAGATTGAAAGAGATTCTGAAGAGAAATTTGAATCCGACAAAGACACAATGCATTCTATTCAAGGCGACGAAGACATGAAATATGGACAAAGCTATGAACAGGAAGATAGCAAGTTTGAAAACACAGAAGTGCATGTTACAGAAAATGCCTCTGAAGCAATGAGTAAATCAGATTTATGTCTAGAAAATAAAACAATAGTATCTGGATATTCAAGCACTTTAGCCAAAGATGATTTGCAGGAAGATCAGCATTACATTGACGATCATGAAACCAAACATTTAATTGAGGAACAGGAAAAAGATATTGAACCAGCTAGTGGTTTGGAATATGGTAGTAGTGTCCCACATAAAGATGTTGATGAACATTCCTTGGATGAACAGTACGATCAACAACCCGAACTCGAAGCGCTAAAGGAATCAATCAGCCGATCTGCGAATGAAGATTACGAGCTATCACGCGACATTATTAACGATGCTGAAATGCAAGAAACGTCCGTTGACGAACCCGAAGAAATTCACCGAAAAGAATCCGCTGTATCCATTACGCTAAACGATGAAGAATTAGACGATAACTACGCAAACGAATTGAGAAGAAAAAGTGGCACCGAATCTGAAGATGATGTTGATCTTCAGCAATACATGATGAACAAAGAAAAAGATAATTTTGAGCAGGACAAGCTAAATCCACGACATGAACAAACTTCTGACAATGAAGATGTGGTCAAGAGCCCAACTCCTCATGCCGTAATCGATTACGAAGAAAGCATGGAAAATTTAATAACTGGTCAAAAAGAAAAAGAAACCCATGACAAAATTGTGGAAAAAGAACTCTATCCATCCGAAAAAGATGATTTTGATGAAAAAGATCACGATTCCACTGAAGACCAGGATATCGATGATGGAGAAATGATCCGCCATCCTACGCCACCTGAAATGAAATACTCAGAAGATGACATGCGTGATCCGATTGGTCCACACTTTATTACTACTCCTGGTATGAAAGCAGGAACTGACATTACTGAGCAACCTCTTTATGAAGAAGCAGAAGATGAAGGATCAGACAGGTCTGCAAGTCCTGTGGTTGAACAACCTGTCTTTGGAAATGTGGGCGGAGCCGATTTTCCAGAATTAGTTACCGTGTCTGGAGGCACAACTCCGTCAGAGCCACAGTCTCCCAAAGCTGGCTTGGATGGAAAGAAATTCGGCTCGGATGCTGGACTCATGGAGGCTCTGAGCGAGCACGATTTGTCTGAAAGCTCAACACATAGCCCTCATTTCCAAGATAACACAGCATTCGATTTACCTGTGGCAACAGATAAATATGAAGACTCACATATGGTTGATGACAACACGCATATGGTTGATGACAACACGCATGTGGTTGATGACAACACGCATGAAGAGCGTAATGTTGTTGACCAAGATGAAATGAAAAAAGTTGAAGCGCCAACTTTAGAAAAACAACTTAGTCCCCTTACTGCTAGGAAAATTTGTGATGCTCCATCTGATGACGAATCTTACAGCCAAAATGAAAAGTCTGAAACTCGTAGTGAAAAATCGGATGATGACGATGAAAAATCGAGTCAGCGTCATGATGATAAATCGGATATGCATGATGACAGATCTGATAACCAATATGATGGAAAATCAGATGTGCATGATGACAGGTCTGATAACCAATATGATAACAGATCTGATGTGCACGACGATAGATCAGATAATCAGTACGATGCAAAATCTGACGTAATGGATGACGAAAGAAAATCTGATATTCATGAAGATGATAGATATGACTATCATCATGATGACTATTATGATGAAAACAAATCGGGAAGTCATCATGAAATGCTAGTATCTGATAAACACGATAGTTATTCATATGAAGCCTCACACGGAAGTGAAATTCAAAAATCAGCTATTTCGTATGAAGAATCTGAATTCCATAGTGGATATCAAAATACTGAAGCTGAAAACAAATCACACATTGTACCCGACCAATTTGCTTCTGGTGGTATTCAAGATGAAGTTCTGCGCTCTCAAACAACTGATGAGTTGAGCTTCCATGATCACGGCAACTTTGATGTTGTTGGAGAAAAAGATTTAGTCTACCAAAAGCAAGAAGAATCTTTTGGTGCACAAGAAGACAATAAATGCAATATTCCATTGGATTTTCAGGATGAAATTCAACCTCCTATTCGTGATCTAAATACTTATTCTCAAGAACTTCACGCCGATGAAAGCTCAAATGCATACGAATCATCTGAACATTATGAAACTAAACATGCGTTATACGAACAAAGGGAAACTGAATCATCTGTACCACTCAGTAGTTACGGATATGCAGAAACCTCAAATAATGCTGATATCAAAGATTTTACATCTGCCTCTCAAGACTATGGTATTGATAAACATGAGATATCATCAAATGTCGTAGATGACTATGAATACAATGAAGGAAACTTGGAAAGGATGGTGGACGAGCACCAGTTTGGTTTACTCAAAGAAAGTGAAATTCCCCAGCCCTTAACAGATACGCCTTCTTCAGGAATAAGTTATCAAGAAACTGCTGAAGTTCATCACTATGAAACTTCAAATATTCAAGAAGATGCTTACGATTTCCACTCAAAACAACTGACGCAAACTTCAGCTGTCTCAGAAGAGTTCGAAACCCATTCCCAGGTGCCTGAAACATCTCACTTTGATGACACAAATTATAACTATATGTCACAAGAACCTTCCTTTACAATGTCTCAAAATTATGAAACAGTATCTAAAGTGGAGAGTACTTATGAAAGCAATGTTGATCAAGAATTTTCAGAAAATTCTAATCTACCACATAGTATGACACGAACTGATTACGAAAAAGAGATAACTGAATCAGATGAAGTGAAACTCCGTGCTTTTTCAGACTTAGGAGAACATCATACATTGAACTCGGAGTTTGACGGTGGTAAAGTTGACTATGAAAATATGCAACAAGAACTGCATGAGTCTAAAAATGACTTCACCTCAGAAGTTGCTTATGGCAGTAATGAAATTACTAGTTCACAATTTTCTAGTACAGGCATAGGATCTTCAGTCAACGGGAATGGAAAAGAACAAACTTCCTACAGTCATTCCGAGCAATATACTTCCCAAACTGCATCGCATTTGCAAGATACTGCATATTCGCAGCAAGAATCTAATTACATTATCAGTTCGAGATTCCATTCAGATTCTCCTGAAGATAACGTCATGAGGAGCGACTCCTCCCCAGACGTTCCTTATCCACCTAGCTCAATAGGCGCCAAAACCTCCATGGTTGTCGATTCTCAAGAATTCATGCAAACTAAAGAAGGCTACAACAACATGAATTTTCCTCAGTCAGGTGATATACCCGTTTCCCCAAATAACAAATCACATAATGCCAATCGTGATGATCCTTACGATGAATCATCGGAAGAGGATGACAGCTCATCCGTTCCTGGCACAGTATCACCTTATGCTTATACCAATAAGGCTTACGCCAAAGAGGAAGAAGATATTGATGGAAATCATATTTACAAAGAATCGGCATTTGAAAAGAGATCTGAAATATTAAAACAAATGGAATTGGATCCAAATAATCCACAGACCCTTACAACTCAACAGGTTGGTTATTCTCAAGATTACGAAGAAAGAGAATACACTGGAAGCACTAATTATGATTTTAAATTAGAAGAGTGGGAAAAACCAATGGGTCTTCCCACTCCTCCAGATGCAACTAAAGCTGTGACGAAAAAACCTCCCACTAAACCTTTGGGAAAAAGTGCTGATAGCAACGGCAAAGCTTACTTTCCAACAGCGGCGTCTAAAATGTCTTCCCCACTGAAAAAGCCCAAACCAAAATCCACCAAAGAATCCGGCGGCAATCCAGTTTACGTCGATCTAGCCTATGTTCCACATCATGGTGATCCTCACTACTGTGACGTGGAATTCTTCAAGAAAATACGTGCTCGCTACTACGTCTTCAGCGGCATCAATCCTAGTAAAGAAGTTCTTAACGCTCTTCTGGAAGCAAAGAAAACCTGGAAAGAAGACATGGAGGTGACCATCATACCTACTTACGAGACAGATACCCTGGGTTATTGGATGGCCCAGAACCAGGACGATCTTGCTACTTATTCTATTGAAGTTGCCCCTTCAGCCAGCAGGTGTACAGTGAATCTACAAGATCACGAAACAAGTTGCGCAGCTTATCGTCTGGAATTCTGAAAGACTTAGAAACTCGAATTTGAAAAAAGTTTTAAAAAATATCGCTTCTGTTTTTTGAATGGGTGCTTCTTCGTTAGACTCCAATTTCAGGAATGAATGTTTTTAATCAATTGGGGAGGAGATTGAAAAAAAAAAAGATAGCAAACCTAATCTTATAGGTCGACTCATCAACATCCAAAAGGAATTCCACTTTATTTAATATGTTCTAATTGGACTTTTTTTTTCCTCAAAAAATGAATTTGCTTGTATCATTTCGGTTTTCTTCAAAGTGGAGTAACGTCGGTTTTTAATTGAATTTTATGTAGCAGTCCTTGCATGTTGTAGCATGCTTACGTGCAGCAATGCACATCCTAAATGCATTGCTGTATACTTCCAGGCTACTCCACTTTGAAAAATTCCAAACAGTGCCTAATTAAAACAAAGTGAGAAAACACTATGTAAAAGAATTTAGGAAAAATTATCAAATGTTATTTTAAAAAAAAACTTAATCTTTTTTTATAAAAAAGACTTGCATTATTTTAGGCAGCGTTGAAGTTTATTTAGTACTAAAATATTTTATCCATAAGCTGTTTGACATATATACACTGATAAAATAATTAAATATGTGTTGAATTCTTATTAGAAATCTTTTTTATACGAACATAGAAGTTTTGTGATTGTAAATAATTAATAAATTTTAGTGTTCAGCTCGAGTTGATGGATGCAATTTATGTGTGATTATATGTTTGAAATTTTCAAATCTCTTTTTTTTTCCTTTCAAAAATTCTTATAATTAGTATTTATTTATAAATTAGTATGAAATTTTTATGAGGAATGTATATATGAAAATTTATTTTTAAAAATATCTAAAGTGGTAATTTATGGCTAAAATGGCATTTATTAAATTCATAAGTATTTATCATTATCATAAGCAAACAGCCTATGTTTTACCACGAGATGATTTTACACAAATTTTTTCACTGTGGTGTTTTGCAAATATAAAATTTTTATGCTTTTTATTTTAATAATTTTATTATTGCATACTTTTTATAATTAAATAATTTTATACTTCCAATATTGTATTTTTTTTAAAGCTACAGATAAAACATCTCATTTATGTTTAATAACAGAAACATTGGGACAAATGTGAAATAACTTATACCACTAGAAACTTATAATTTTTATACGTATTATGTAACTGTATATGTATACCTAGTCACATTTATTATATTTTTAAAAAGATTTTTTTTAATTGGATTACACATGGTTTTGTTTCCTTTTTAAGTTTCCAAAGCATTGAAAAGTTTTTATATTTAAAGAATTTTATTATATGCATATTTGTGGTACATGTCTCTTGACCTTTTTATTATAAGAAGCATTAGTTTCTAAAAATAGTCAAATTTAATATCAATTAGTTGAATAACTTTATAAAGGATTACAGTAAATTTTTATCACTGAAGTAGTTTAGAATACTGTTGTAATACTGTTGTAATTAAACTCTTCGATCTAAATAGTATTTTCAAAACTCAATAATTTCTTCATCCTACCAATGTTCACGAATTATAGTTATACGAGTTTCATAGCAAAAAAAAATTCTCTTTTACTTACAGATATATATAAAATTGAAGTATTTTCAGATTTTGCATTTATTTTAGACTTTGTGGCACAAATGCAAGCATTAATATTAGTTGGCTTGTATCAATTTAATATGCATATTAATGATTAAATAAAAATCCCCAGCAATTGCAAAAACAACTTCTAAGAAATTAGAGCTTGTTATTAAATATTTTTTATCACCAACATAAGAATCCAACGACCGCAGTGGCTTAAATAAATTCAATACCTTACCCGTCACTCCTTTAAGGTATCTTAATTTAAGGTTGCCGTTAAGTTTAAATTTAAGTACTAGCCAATGGCAGCTCTCCGTTTCATGTGAGATTGTCTTTTCAGCCAATGAGAACGTTTACTTTCGGGTAAATACTAATTGGTGTTAGATTCCAACTTGAAGCTCTTGAGCGATGAGGAAACTAGCGTTAACCAATCCCATCTCTCCATTTGACGCTTCGCTGCAATGTGATTGGCTGGATAGAAGTAATAGCATTAAGAGCTTAGAATTGAACTTTCGCTTATTTTATTTTCGAAATTTCACAGAATCATTTTATTTGAGAAATTGATTCACATTTTTATATAACTTTCTTCATTATTTTATGTTTTGATGCTAAATCTGGTTTCGTAATTATTTCCTTTTATTTATTCGTCTTTTTCAATATATAATAAACACTTTCAAACGACCCACTTTATTTTACACCACTTTTCTGTGATAACTAATAACCTAAATATTTAGGGATTTAATTTTAAGGTGATAAACATTAACTGTTCAAGAATATGTCCACAATTAAACAGAAAATGCCAATTTTTTTAATACCAAAATAGCTTTGTGGGCAATTTATAAACCAAGCGCCGTATGTTCATGATATTTATATTGATTTATCAACAACAAAAAAAATATTTTGAATTTTTTGTTGCATTTTAAATGTACGATTGCAATTAGTTCAGGTCGTGTTAACTATTTAGTTAATCGCTTCAAGGCCCTTTTGTTAAGTGAAGCGCCGTATGATGTATATTTAGTGTTTTTCACTAAATCGTTTTAAAATGTTTAGATTTCTATACATGCATGTGTTTTTACGATTTACGCCTTTTTAGAACTTAATACAGCTTCAGCGGTATCCCCCTCTTCTCATATATCATATGCGCTAATATAAAACAACCCTTAGTTATATTGAAAATCATCCATAACGGCACTATGCCTTACTACTAGAGTGTATCACGATTTTTTTCTTCAGAATTTTAAGTCTTTAAAAAGTTGTTACACTAGTTTACCAAAACTTTTTTTTGTCAACTAGAAAATTATTCAGTTCCCCCGGAACCGCCTAATTTTTTTTTCTTTGACTAAAAAATAAAAATGTAAATTTTTGGAAAGGCATACATTTAAAATAAGTTTAGCTTTTAAATTAAAAAATATATAATTTTGAATCTAGCGTAACTGTAAACTATGTATGTTAATGGCAAATTGAGAAATTCAGTTGTTTGATGAAAACTGCAATGTGCCTAAGAGATTCACTGCAATAAGGCTAACAAATGACGTCAACGGTTTGTAAAAAGTCGAATTTTCTAATTTGCCTACAACATGATATATCAACTGTAACATTTAAGTCTCCCGGAATGTACAGGAAATACAAATTCTAATTTAAAGATTGTGTTGAAAGTTAAGGTTTTGAAGTTTAATTAGGGAGATCTAAATTTACCTTCCGAATATAATTGTTTTACTCTTACTTATAAATTTCAAATTTACATCATAAATTTCAACATTTTTGAGTTTACTAAAATTTGATTTTATATTTTATGCCTCTAAAAAAGTTTAATTTGACGTCGGGAGATCTTTTGAAGAAAACAATTTTTGGAAAATAATGTGACAACTTTCAATCGGCTTGAAGTTTTGAATTTCGAATATTTTGTAATACACCCTATTAAACTTATGCAATTTCGCTAGCCTTTTTTTAAATAACGTGCAACATTTTAAACACCTTTTTACAAAAAACAACAGCTAGTATATTACTACTACTTTATTACATACCACGATAGGAACAATTATTCAAATTCTTTAACTCCGTTTGAAGTAAAGGAATACCCCTATTCACTGTCAAACCTTTAGAATTACCATTTAATTTAGAAAGTTTTGTAAAGCTAACAAAGAAATGCTTTTAAAAGAATGAATGTTCGAGCTTTAGAACTGAAGAAGAGATTGAAAGATTCTTACTTAAAAGAAAAATAATAAAAAACAACCTTGTAGTGAGTAATGTTAGTATGTTTTTCCGCAGTGTCCTGCATAGTGTGTCAGATAACGACTGCTTGAAATTTGCTGCCTCTGAGCAATTTATTAAAATGCGAAATATATATATACAAAGTGCTGTAGCCCATATCTAGATATGCAATTGGATGCAAGGTATCTCGTTGTTTGTATGTTGCCCAGAGCTATAATATGTTTCATCATTTGCAGATATGTTTAGCTTTATGAAGTCTACTAATGTGCTGTCCGCTTCACTTTTGAGAAACGAGCGAGTTGTACCAACATTTGATTCTGTGCAACTAAAATTGAAATTTATGCATCGATTCTTTATTAGTTTGTTTTTAAAAAAAAATAAGCAGATAAATTCTAGTACAGATCCTTGAATATTTCGAAAGACTGGTAATAAACCCTACTGCGAGTGTGCAAAGCATTACGAATCCTTGACTAAATTGCAGGTTCGTCAGTGACTCCTCAAGTACAACAGTAAAATTTATTTCTCAAATATAGTGATTTTTAATGCAATTCTAGCTTCACTCTTTTAACTCGGATCGACACAAGAAGACATTCCATACAGTCTTATCATAAAACTCATCCTCCGTACTTTAGGACTGTTGAACTACTGTTAACTTTAGCTGTCTTATCTCAGTGTTAACTTTTAACTTGAAAAACGAATCAATTTCAAATTGAGATTCATAAGTTTCTCAATGTTTTTAACAGTAATGCCTTGCACTGTAGAATTAAATTTTAAACTGTACTTTGTAGTAAAAATTACTACATTCTTTACGCAGTATTTAAAATAGTTTGTTTTTAATACCAAAAATACAGACTTACAACACATTTAAAGAAATTCATTTTAAACTTTTTTAACTGTGAAAGCATTAAAAGTTTTCGAAATTTTAGTTTACTTTCAAATTTTGGTACTTTTCTCGCTCATTACTTTCTGCACAGTACGTACACAATACGTACATACAATACGTACATAATGAAGTTTTTACAATAGGATTTGAACATGAATTATATATAGTTCCTCGAAAAAGAAGCGTATGTGATGCTGACTGTAAGTTTTTACTTTTTATTTGAATGCACATTTTTTTAGCAATATTATCTTTCCATTTTTGCTTTTTGTATTTCAACGCTCTGTGGGCACTGTGATTTCATGTTGGCGCGTTTCAATGCAGATGGACGTTGCCCAGGATGTAAACTGTGAATTGTTGAATAAAAATTTCGTGTATCTCATTGTGCCAGTTTTTTTTATTCTTATTGAATTGACAAAACTCAGTTATAGTAGTTTTTTTCATTTAACTAGGGGTAAAGCACTGTCTACTAGAATGATCTGTCGGCAAACATCAAAATACATGCCTCTATTTTAGCGTCTGAAATACTCGAGTAGTAATAGCAGTACCAGTCTTCAGGGTTATATATTAAGATAATAGCGCACGTTCCGTATTGAAAGATGTTTACCGTTGACTAAGAGCTTAAAAATTTCTCTTGGTGGCTCTGTTCATTACCATTTCATTTTAAAAACTGGTTCTTTTTTAACAATTTCAGAATTGTATCTTTACGTCGAATATCATAGAATGTGAAACTTTTCGTGACCATACCAACCAGTTCGCACGGAGCATTTAAAGTGAATGCAAAGTTCTAAAAACCAGCATCCAGAACAGAGCACGCAGTAGTGTGATTTTTAGTGGCATACGGTGAGCGTAATTCGAGCTTTTATTGTCAAATGTTTGCTCTTTTATTACAGGCATTATTTAGCACTACTGTATCTGAAAAAATAGTGTATCGTTTTTCATGATAAACATCAAATTTAAACAACAAAATTATGCATAAACATCGAATTATCCCATGGTGATCAAACGCCATGATCTTCCATTTAATTATTGCTATGATAAGAGATAATCGAAGTGTTTCCACTCTTAATATTTGTGCATGGATTAGTCTGGCATGAGTAAAGCAATGGTGCAATCATCTGCCTCTGAAAATCATACTACTTCGCGGTGTTCTGCTCTGGATGCATTCTTTCTAAGCTAGATTTTACATTCACTTCAAATGCATGCATGGGAATTGATTAATCAATTACACAGTTTGCTGTGCACTCCTATCCTTCATAACTCTTCCTGGTGCCGATGCTATCGCTGCTGTATTTCTTACGCTATCATAAGTGTCCATTTTTTATTAGGACAACGCTTATAAATTTCCATTTTTCATAGTCACTTGTTAGTTAAATAGAGTTAGTTAGAAAAATTACTTAAAAGGTAAAAATTCTAAGAGTGGGTAAATGTAAATTGGATGCGAAATCATCGGAATTGTATTTTTTTTTAAGTGAAACTATTATATTTGAAAATTTTCCAACATTGATCCCCCATAGTGAATACTATAGTTACCTTTGATGTAACTGATAACTTTCCATACACCATGGAATTGCAAATTAGAGATGAACTCGGAATCACTTATAAAGACTTGAACCCAAAAGCTTAATTTCGGGCCCACTCTAGATCGATAGGTTATAATTTTTATTTTATAACAGTCATTGAACAGTCGACCCAATTTTATTACGGCTACCAATGTTCAACACGTAATTAAGGTAGCCTTGTAGTTTTAAACCCAATAGCTGAGATTCGAACCTGATTAGGAGGCGAATGTTCTATCCTCTGAGACTCAGTTACGATATACTTATTTTATAACCGTCGTTGAGTAGTAGTAGTTAATTTACGTCGCACTAGAGCTGCACAATGGGCTATTGGCGACGGTCTGGGAAACATTAAAACTTTTTTTCCGAAGACATGCCATCACAATTTTGATCCTCTGCGGAGGGGATGGCACCCCCGCTTCGGTAGCCCGACGACCTGCGCGCGAAGTCGAGCACTTTACGGTAGCACAGTTTAACGAGGACCAATACCGCACACCCTCGGTCCCTACGCAGACTGATCCAAGTGGTCACCCACCCGCACACTGACCGCAGGCAGTGATGCTTGACTTCGGTGATCTGCCGGGAACCATGTCTTAACGATCACTGCGGGACATAACCGTCGTTGAACCACCGTCCCAATTTAGGTTTTGCAACTACTAATGTTCAACTCCTCCTTGTAAGTTTGAACCCAATCCAAAAGGCAAGGGAATTCGATCACGTACTGGGAGAAATTCGACTTCGTGTAAGACTTTTTGATGGAACTAACCCGCATTTGCGTTGCACGGATTGGAAAATTTTCCACGGTTATCCTGACAGCTAGGGAACTTGAATCCATGATCCGTCTACCACTGAGGATATTCTACTTCAGCGCTGTGGTCGGTGCGAGCCTGGTGTGGAATTTGTATCGAACAGCCATCTCTAGGATTCTAGCCCGGTTCGCCCCATTAGAAGGCAAAAGATCTGTACGATATACATTTTATTTTAAAACCTTCGTTGAACAGCCATTCCAATAATACGATATACTTTTGTCCGCCGTAGTCCAAGATTTTATATGCCAAAACTCGTGAAGATACAAAGCCAAGTTTTGTAAAGAGATAGGTCCACTGAGATATAATATTAAGACTGCTTCTAAATTTTAACTGCTCAGTGCAATTATTCCTACTTAATCAAACCATATGTACCTTTTTTTTGTTTGTTTAAAAAGGTTTGTTTTGTTTGTTCAGAAGTTATGGGAAAATTTTATCATGAACACTTATCTCAAAATCTTTCAGCTTTTTCCGGTCTCAGGTTGAGCCTGTCTTATCTCACTTAGGCTCTACTTTAATGAAGATTCATGGTATTTTTCGAAACTCTTTCACCAAGAAAAATAGAAAAACTGTTGAAGTAAACTTTTGAGGCAAAACTACAATTTAAAACTATACATAGTTAATAAATTCTTGCAGTAAAGAATTAGCTGGGCTTTAGAATGGACAAATCGCTTAATTATTAAAAAATTGTAACTTTAAAAAAAACATCATTAATTTAGCAAGACTTTTACACCTATATGAAAATTTTCGAAATTTTGTATATATGGGCGTATAAAAATTTGTAATAATTCGCAATTATTGCAACATTTTTATGAGCTAAGATAATACAGCATCAAAGTAATTCTTTCATCATTTAAAAAATAGACCACAAACTCTTTCTTTTACGCAAAGACAAAAACGTAGCTTTTCTTCAAATTGGCATTTTACGCCATTTTCAGAATTCAATTAAGAACTAGTGTTTTAAAAAATAGGCTTAACTTTACATTCAAGAAAAAAACTTGCTGTTTTTGCCATTTGGTGGTATTACTTCGTCATGATTGCAGATATTTCTATAAAGTTACCGGAAAATTCTGTCCAAGGAAGAACACTCCTCATTATACAAGGATACAAAAGGTGCCTTTATAAAATATAAAATAAAAAGTAGTCCGGCAATTACCCTTAAATGCATGCATCTAATGTCTGTCAGTTTGATCGGTTAATTTTGTTACAAGTTTTAATATACATGCACATACTCTTTTTCGTCTCATATGCTATGTTTCTTTAAGCTAAAACATAACCGTTGAATTTAAGGACAAACACTCAACCACTTTCTTTTCTATTACTATAAGAGGAGCGAAGCGAGTGCTTTCGCAGACAACTTTTCGGTTGACCAAATATTTAAAATCTTTATAGCCAAAAACTCAAAATTAATCTAATATCCTTATCAAATCGTGCTTATTTTTACAATGCAATTTTATTTACTTTGCATTCGAGTTTCACACAGGGCGTCAAACATTCATTGATTTTAGATTAGCATGCACTTGGTTGAAAGTAGGCGTTACTTTTTATGGTATACCACCTCATTGAATACGATGAAATACATCTAGATTTGAATTTGTGAATTATTTTATTCATATTCCTTTTATAAAGCAAAATAAATTTTGGTGATGAAACAATTGTGTTAACAATATTTTTTCTTCTTTAAAAAGAAAGAATCACTCTTTTGAAAATATGATCGGTTGAAATGAGTTAAAATTTGGAAAATATGCTCAAGAATAGATTCTCTTGAATGAAGGGAAATAAAATGTATCCGAAAGTAAAATCTATTTCGTAATAATTGAGGAAAACGCATTCATGTAGTTACTATAAAAATGCATACAGCTTTGTGCAATGTTAATCAACAGTTTAGATGAAATTGAAATTCAAATAGCTACCACTTTATAAAACAAGAAAAACGTTTTGTATATTTTTATTTTATTAGTTAATATTGGTTCATTGTTTGGTACAACATATTCTCGAATAATTGCTAGCATTTAAATGTGCTGGTAAAGGAAAAAAGAAAATCTAGTTAGAGAGTCTGAGCTGAGGGTTTCTATGAGACAAAATTCAACTTTTTCAATCATTTTTATATCTAAAATGGTCATAAATAAATTCATTTTCTTATTTAAAATATTTTTCTCTATTTTTTCCGAGTATTTAAAATTTAATTGAAATTAATTAGTGCTTAAAAAATTATATATTGAATTAATTAAGTTTCATTTAACGTTATTGCTACTTTAGCAACGTTTGAAACAGGCTTCTTAACTATGCTGCGCAAAATAGAAACCAGAGCACTGCAAAAGTAGGGCATGCTAAAAATTAAAAATAATTCAATAAAGTAAGCTCTTCATAGCCTTGGTTCACATATATAGGTGGACCATTCTCTTCTTATCTTCTAAAAGCAAGCTATAAGAAACTCATATAGATGTCACCAATTTATATTACTTTGCCTGATCTATTAACTAAATGCTTTAACTAATCCAGTTGATGTGAGAATTTCGACTTAAACGAATTTGTTTAAAATTTTAACAAAATTTATGTTTTTTTTTTTAAAAAAAGACATTGATTCTTAACCTTTTTTTATCACGTCACACTTTTAACAATTTCCAAAGTTTACGGCACACAGCTCCACATGATTCTCAAATTATCCTACTTTTAAATTTTAAAATCATGCATTATTGATTTCGTTAATTTTAGTAAAATGTAAATTTTATTGACTTAGTTATGTCCAATTGTGAAATTTGAATGCTAACTAAAGTTGTACACACTTTCAAATAAAACTTTTAATAAAAAGTAGGCGTTACTTTCTACTGCGTAATACCCGGTTCACGCTGAAAAGTAACGCCTACTCCTAACTAATTCAAGTATGTGAAGATTTTTCATATTTAATGTTAGAATAAAATTTATTGAAAATTAAGATAAAGAGCTCCCGAAGAGAATAAAAGCATTTTATACTCAGATAATTGACCTTAATATCCAGACAATTTAAGTTAAAGCAC